TCACAATCTAAAAACTCAAGAAAAAGTTGATATTGATTTTCTAAACAAGTCAGTTGACTCTCAAATCGTAAAACAATCTGTGATGATCTTCTTGTTAAGTAGTTTGTTCGTTTTTTTAAAAGAAAACACCTTTGATTGGTGTAAGACCCCGAAAATGACTTAGGTAAACTAGAGACTAACATTTTGATCATGATGGTATAAGATCCTAAATAAGACCTATAATATGGTATTGAGGCAGTTTCTAAGAGTTTAGGTGCATTGGAAGTCAAACGTCAAGGGACGACCAAGACGTTTGAAATGTTTGCCTTGAAACGACCTTGTGTGTCTAAGCATGTTTTGTTGAGTTTTACGTGTTCAATTTGGATTAAATTCATGTGAGAGGTTCTAAAATCATATAAGATCATGTTTGGGTTGGAAATGTCTGGGAAAACATCCCCAAGGACCATCGAAGGGTCCTTGAGGAAGGACCCAAATTTGGTGTCAAGACTGCCAAAGACAGCCCAAACCACGGAGGCAATCGACGCTTAGTGGGTCAGTCGATGCTCCGTTGGTGGTGGCTCGTCTATTGGGTGTTATTTTGGGTAAAGGAGAGAACAAAGGTGGGTCTCTGAACCAAACGACGGGAGGAGAGGACGGTCTATTTGTGGACAAATGGTTCGTTGATTGCCAACCGTCGATGGTGTTGTGTCCCTGATACGTTCTTCATCAAGGAGCCCAACTTTCAAAGATGTTTTCCAAAGTTTTCAAAGTTGAACTTGACCAATTTTATGATCTACCATGCGTTCTTGCATTAATGATTTTTAAGCATTGAATATGAATTAAATTATTATTGTATTGATGATTTTAACTCAATTAACCTATGAACCCATGTAATTGATGAACCCTAGTTTTGACTAAGTTATGAGTTACTTGATATTGATCTAATAACTATGAATTATAGTGTAGTTTTCTATGGTCTATCTCATGATGTAATAATTGTATTCAATTGATATATAGGTTGTATTAGATTGATGAATTTACATTGAATTGACCTATTTTCATTGAGTCTGACAGCTTTTACATTGAATTGATGTTCTTGACCATTTGTAAGGGCTTTATGGTATTGAATTAGATGATTTAGCATCGAATTGAGGTGTTGAGGATGGAGTGGTGGTACGGTGCCCTAATTCCCTTATTTTTATTTATTTTAGAATTCAATTATATTATGATTGGTATGGTAAACTTATGGTGGTGGTTTTATGTACTTTACTTACAATTGATATGACCTTGTCGGGGTTACTTTATGTATTATAATGATCATGACCTTGTCGGCAACTACTTGAAGTAATGTGGGTATTTGTGTAGTTGATTATGTGAAGCATGAAAATATATATCTACATGTGAAGTCATATGAAAGTATATGTGTTCTTCTATTGATGCTACTTAGGTGATCATGTTACACAATGACTTTGACATTGTGCGTATAGTCTTAGGGTAATGCTTGGTTATTCCTAATTGACTATATGAGTCAATGATTAGTCACATTGATGATGGTATGATACTGTATAGGATGACTTAAAGAGGATATGGTTTATGTCTATATGTTTCTAGAATGACATATAATATGTGTTGATGTGAAGTATATGGTGTCTTGTCTTGGTTGACTTGTGTCCCTTACTTGATGCATATATGAATGTGAATATGTGATGTCTTGACTTATTATGCTACAACCTCTTAGTCTTGTATGTATGAATGACAAGAGACCTTAAATGATGTTAAGAGAGTCTTTTATGTGAAACCTTGAACCTAAGGTTATGAATGTTGAAGTAGAAAGCCATAATGGTATCCTTCAAGTAAATGAATAATGGAGTTATGGTTAATTCGATGGAACGATGTCATATCAAACCTTAGGAAAGTCATCATGAGCCTCTTGTCGCTATTGTGAAGTAACCCTAGAATACCTCTTTGGTAGGGTAAATATAAATGGGTTATGAACTTGATATGGAACCTCTTTATATGAACCTTAATGTGAATTACTCTATGAGAACGAAGGCTAGCACCGAGTGAGTATGGTAAGGGAAGTAGTTCTAGTTAAAAAACGAGACTAGAATACAAAGCATGCCCTTCATATTCATTAACCATGTGCCTACATGGGATGTGTCCAAGTTCTACCATTGACAAGTAGGACACCCTCATCAGAGTAGGTTAGAACTTCGGATTCCATGTCTTGCTATCATGGTATATATCGGTTAATGCCTATTCTCATCATGTGGGATGCTTACTAGCATTACAGAAGTTTTATGAAGTTTAGATTGTGGTATGAGACGCTAACTAGAGATTGCACAATAGCTAGAGAAGTTCTTTGAAGGTGTTAGTTAGAGTCTTGTCCAGGACCATTGCTTGAATGTCCTATATGTGATGAATGTCTCTTAATGAACTAATGTTGTATGTTATGAAGCATGTAAACGAATGAGTACCTAATCTAAAGTGACTTAAGGTTTCCTTAGTTAAAGCGTGAAAAGGGCATAAGGGATGATCTCTTCATGTCTTACCTAGGTAAGTCTTGAGAATGAATCTAGTTAGGGAAGATAGTTGGTGTTGTGGACATGATCTAAGCCTTAGGAAGTCTTAAGAATTACTTAGGTAATCTTGAAGAGGTCAATCATGGACGTTATCTTCTTGATTTACTTAAGTAGGTCTTTTGATAGCCCTTGGAAACAGAAAGTCATATTATGTATGTGTTAATTTATTAAGTGAGAATGATTCTATCCTAGGGAGTCTATAGGATCTCTTGAGTGTGTGTAAGAGATTCTATGGGTGGTCGCTTCATAACTCACTCAAGTGAGACTTAGAATCACCTTTTGTAGATGAATCTTACATTGATGTGTATGATGTATTGTGAGTATGTATGTGACTTAATATAAGTAGTCTCGAGGGTAATTTAGGCATGCCTATAGAGGTTGTATGTGCGGTCTTTCTTTGTGTTGCTTAAGTGAGTCTTAGAATAGCTTTTAGTGAGGGAATTAAATGCTAGAAAGTGTCTAAATAAATGGTAAGACACTTCACTGCACAGTGAAGGGGCTTCACTGTAACAGTGAAATGAGTTCACTTGTAAAGTGACTTGAAAAATGGGTTAATTAGTTTATATATTTTCTCATGTGTTTCTAAGTTGATAAATGTTTTTCTTATTATTACATTATGATTTTTATATAAAAAGATGCATACTTCCAATAAATGTTAGTTTTCATGATTTTTATGCATTATGTCATACTTTGTACATGTGATTGTATTAATCTATGTGTTTATCTGTCTCTACAGTTGTTTGCAGGTGAGGAGAATTTGGGAAGCAAGACTTAGACCATAGCATCGTTTAAGAGAAGTTAAAGTATGCCCTCATTTGACTATAGGGCATATATGTCTTTTATGTTTCTATTATGAAGTATTGTAATAGACTAAGTATTTCTATTTTCATATTGTGTATGGGCCGTGTCCCAAGTATTTTCGTGTCTAAGATTGATGAGATTGAGACTTAGTATTTTCTATGATTTTATATGAAAGAGTTTTTAAAGACTATGATGTTTTTTGTGAAAAGTTTTAATTCCGCACTACTTTTCACTATGTTTATGCGATGAACGATATGTAAGGGCTTGTACAAGACCTCAGAGAGGTCAAGTAGGCCAGTTGCAATCCGAAATTGACTCTAATTCCTAGGGTGTGATTTCGGGATGTGATAAGCTTGATATCAGAACATAGGATGTGAAAGTAGTTTTAGGAATCAAAAAGTCTCATCACGTCACGTCTAGTAGAGTCTCGATCATATGTGTGAGTCGCGACACATCTATGGGCGAGAGTCTATAAGACGATAGAGTTTCCATTCATTTCTACTCCTATTTCGTGTAGTAGAGTAAAAATTTATAAGTACTTTTTTCTTATGGTTTTCCTTGTGTTTCTAGGAAGATGAATACGTGGAGGACACTGACTAGGAGAGTTGAGGAGAATGATGTGCATGAGGAGATTCCTCCTCAAGTTGAGCAAGTTCCTCAATATCGGAAAGGAGTCCAAGATGCTCAAGGTGCTCAAGTGCCTACCGAAGGTGATCAAGTCCCTATTGTGGAAGGAGATAATAATGCCGCGGAGTTGAGCAATAGGGATCACTACTAAAAAAATAGTGAATACCGACCTAGAAATACCGACCTCCAGAGGTCAGTATTCCTGAAATACCGATCAAAAATCGACTTTCCAACTTAAGCCAGAAAAAGCTTGGTCGCTATTCAATTCCGACCTTTGGAGGTCAGTATTTACTAACTAGCGGAGGTCAATTTTAATTTATGTCGATAAAATTTTTTATTTATTTTTTGACTTCCGGAGGTTAGTTTAATATATTTGTTTATTTTTTATTTTTATTATTTCTATCTTCTAGAGGTCAAAATTTTTAATTATCAAATTTTTGAATACCGACCTCCAAAAGTCGGTATTTTTATTTCCTATTTTTTAGATTCTGACCTCTGGAGGTTGGTATTTTCATTTCTTATTTTTTTGATTTCAACCTCTGGAGGTTGGTTTCTATTTCTTATTTTTTAGATTCCAACCTCCGGAGATCGGTATTTCTATTTCTTATTCTTTAGATTTCGACTTCTGGAGGTCTGTATTTATATTTCCTATTTTTTAGATTCTGATCTTCAGAGGTCGGTATTTTTATTTCTTATTTTTGAGATTCCGACCTCCAGAGGTCGGTATTTGTATTTCTTATTTTTGAGATTCTGACCTCCGGAGGTCAGTATCTCTATTTCTTATTATTTAGATTCCGATCCTCGGAGGTCAGTATTTTTATTTTCTTATTTTTTAGATTCTAACCTTCGCAGGTCGGTATTTCCATTTCTTACTTTTTAGATTTCGACCTCCGGAGGTCGGTATTTCTACTACAAATATGGCAACAGCTGCAATTTGAGTATCCCACCTGTATATTTATATAAAAATAACCCAAATAATTTCAAATAAGCTATTTCAAAATAAACTTCATCCAACTCAAAGAATTTCAAATGAGCTATTTTAAAATAAACATCATCCAACCAAAACAACACAGTATTTTCAAAATATACATTAAACTATTTCAAAATAAACTTCATCCAACTTCAAATTAAACTAAAATGATCAAACAATCCAAAAATATAGCAGTCTAAAATGTCACACCAATGCAACTATTCGTTATCACCGATACTCTCCTTATCACCCTTATCATTCTCATCACCCTCCTGATTAGCTCCATCATCACTACTTGCGGGACATGGAGGAAGAATATTTCACGATTCTCACTTTCTTCTTGTGTAAATGATCTATCCCGGCTCTCAAGAAGTAGAGTACTACGGTATTCCTGAGACATTCGTATAAACCTATCATGTATTTTAAACAAAGAACTTTACAAATAATAATGTAATATATAAAAGAAAAAGAAAAAAGATTAACTTGAATAGAGTTCTTACATATATCTCTTGCACGTGGCTCAATCCATCTTTCTTCTTCTTCGGGATTCGTACTCTTCTTGACATGAGTAACCTTGAGCATCTCTTCTACAACTACCGACCTACCCAACTCTTTTTCCTGCAAATGAAACAAGTATAATTTCATCTCCAAAAACTACTTAACAGAAAATAAAAACAAATATTTTACAAAATTAATAAAGTTTACCATTCTTTCCTTCCTAGAAATTAGGCTAATAGCTCCACCGCTGTGCAAAGAGCCTTTTCTGATGCGCGAGCCATCTTCCCAATCACACTCCTCTTTATAAAGTTTTCATCAATATCACAATGTTCCATTAATAGATCCCATCGATTTGGTACCATAAAGTAAGAAATTCTATTATTTTTTCGACATTCACTAAATGTGCTAGACAACAGCTTTGAAGCTTTAACCTTAAAGTTTGCTTGAACTTCTTCCTCATGATCGGGAGCCCAGACATAATATTTCTGAAATGAAAATGACTAAATTCAAACACTATATTCACCAACTAAATCACATTAACTTATTTGAAGAACTTAACAATTTTTCTTAGTCTAATTAGTTAAGTTTTAACTTACTTCTAACACTATTCACCAACGAAATCACATTACTTGTTTGAAAAACTTATCAACTTTCTAAGTCTAATTAGTTAAGTTTTAACTTACTTCTAACACTATATTGACCAAATAAATCACATAAAGTATTTGGAGAACTTAAAGATTTTCTAAGGTTAATTAGTTTAGGTTTGACTTACTTCTAACACTATATTGACCAACTAAATCACATTAAGTATTTGGAGAACTTAAATACTTTCTAATTATAATTAGTTAAGTTTTAACTTACTTCCAAACACTATATCCACCAACGAAATCACATTGCTAATATGGAAAACTTAACAACTTTCTAAGTCTAATTAGGTAAGTTTTAACTTACTTCTAACACTATATTCACCAACTAAATCACATTAAGTATTTGGAGAACTTAAAGACTTTCTAAGTCTAATTACTTAATTTTTAACTTACTTACAAACACTATATTCACCAACAAAATCACATTACTAATTTGGAAAATATAACAACTTTCTAAGTCTAATTACTTAAGTTTTAACTTACTTTTAGCACTACATTCACCCACTAAATAACATTAAGTATTTCGAGAACTTAAAGACTTTCCAAGTCTAATTAATTAAGTTTTAACTTAACTAAAACACTATATTCATCAACTAAATCACATTAACTTGTTTGGAGAACTTAAAGACTTTCTACGTCTAATTAGTTAAGTTATAACTTAATTTAAACACTATATTCACCAACTAAATCACATTAACTTATTTGAATAACTTAACAAATTTTCAAAAGTCTAATTAATTAAGTTTTAACTTACTTCTAACACTATTCACAACCGAAATCACATCACTTGTTTGGAAAACTTAGTTACTTTCTAAGTCTAATTAGTAAAGTTTTAACTTAACTAAAACAGTATATTCATCAACTAAATTATATTAACTTATTTGAAGAACTTAAAGACTTTCTAAGTCTAATTAGTTAAGTTTTAACTTAATTCAAACACTATATTTTCCAATTAAATCACATAAACATATTTGAAGAACTTAACAATTTTTCTAAGTCTAATTAGTTAAGTTTTATTTTACTTCTAACACTATTAACCAACGAAATCACATTACTTGTTTGAAAAACTTAACAACTTTCTAAGACTAATTACTTAAGTTTTAACTTACTGATAACACTACATTCACCAACTAAATCACATTAAGTATTTGGAGAACTTAAAGATTTTCTAAGTCTAATTAGTCAAGTTTGAACTTACTTCTAACACTATTCACCAAAGAAATAACATTACTTGTTTGGAAAACTTACAAACTTTCTAAGTCTAACGAGTTAAGCTTTAACTTACTTCTAACACTACAATTCACCAACTAAATCACATTAAGTATTTGGAGAACTTAAAGACTTTCTAAGGCTAATTAGTTTAGGTTTAACTTACTTCTAACACTATATTGACCAACTAAGTCATATTAAGTATTTGGAGAACTTAAAGACTTTCTAAGTCTAATTATTTAAGTTTTAACATAAATAAAGCACTATATTCACCAACTAAATCACATTACTTATTTGGAAAACTTAACAACTTTATAAGTCTAATTAGGTAAGTTTTAACTTACTTCTAACAATATATTCACCAACTAAATCACCTTAAGTATTTGGAGAACAAACATGCTTTCTATGTCTAATTAGTTAAGTTTTAACTTTCTTCCAAACACTATATTTACCAACGAAATCACATTACTTATTTGGAAAACATAACAACTTTCTAAGTCTAATTAGTTAAGTTTTAACTTACTTATAAAACTATATTCGCTAACTAAATCACATTAAGTTTTTGGAGAACTTAAAGTCTTTCTAAGGCTACTTAGTTAAGTTTTAACTTAACTAAAACACTATATTCATAAACTAAATCACATTAACTTATTTGGAGAACTTAAAGACTTTCTAAGTCTAATTAGTTAAGTTTAAACTTAATTCAAACACTATATTCATCAACTAATTCACATTAACTTATTTGAATAACTTAACAATTTTTATAAGTCTAATTAGTTAAGTTTTAACTTACTTTTAACACTATTCACCAACGAAATCACTTTACTTGTTTGGAAAACTTAACAACTTTCTAAGTCTAATTAGTTAAGTTTTAACTTAACTAAAACATCATATTCATCAACTAAATCACATTAACTTATTAGAAGAACTTAAAGACTTTCTAAGTCTAATTAGTTAAGTTTTAACTTAATTCCAACACTATATTCACCAATAAAATCACATTAACTTATTTGAAGAACTTAAAGAATTTTCTAAGTCTAATTAGTTAAGCTTTAACTTACTTCTAACACTATTCACCAACGAAATCACATTACTTGTTTGGAAAACTTAATAACTTTCTAAGTCTAATTACTTAAGTTTTAACTTACTTCTAACAATATATTCACCAACTAAATCACATTTAGTATTTGGAGAACTTAAAGACTTTCTAAGTCTAATTAGTTAACTTTTAACTTACTTCTAACACTATTCACCAACGAAATCACATTACTTGTTTGGAAAACTTAACCACTTTCTAAGTCTAATGAGTTAAGTTTTAACTTACTTCTAACACTATATTCACCAACTAAATCACATTAAGTATTTGGAGAACTTAAAGACTTTCTAAGGCTAATTAGTTTAGGTTTAACTTACTTCTAACATTATATTACCAATTAAATCACATTAACTATTTGGAGAACTTAAAGACTTTCTGAGTCTAATTAGTTAAGTTTTAACTTAACTAAAACACTATATTCACCAACTAAATCACATTAACTTATTTGAAATACTTAACAACTTTCTAAGTCTAATTATTTTAGTTTTAAATTACTTCTAACACTATATTCACCAACACTAGATGGACACAAATCGATCTTGCAAGAAAATTAATTTTTTCATGAATAGGATCAACTAGGATTGATACTTATCCTTAACAAATATATTTTTTAAAATTTAAAGCTAAGTGTCAACACTAGATGAACACAAATCAATCTTGCAAGAAAATCGATTTTGTCATCAATAAGATCAATTAGTGTTGGTACTTATGCTTAACAAATATATTATACCTAAATTTAAAGCGAAGTGTCAACTCTAGATGGACACAAACCGATCTTGCAAGAAAATTTATTTAGTCATCAAGAGGATCAAGTAGTATTGATACTTATCCTTAACAAATATATTATTTCTAAATTTAAAGCTAAATGTCTATACAAGATGGACACAAATCAAGTAGGTGGATACAAACACATTATATAAAATAATTGTACTTAAACTTTAGAGATTTATATATCACCAAACCTTATCTCCAACTTTGATGAAAGAAGCAATATAATGTTGTATCAACTTTATTATATGTTGAGCTTCCTGAGTTGCCTAGCACGAAAAGAGGTAAAAAAGTTAACACTAAAAAAATAAAGTTTGAACTTATACACGCACATGTTACATACAAGAAGATCAAGTAGAGCATTAAGTCATACTCTTAAGTCATTTGTATTTTTATTTCAAAATAGTTCGATTTGATTCACTAACATCAATAGCTCAACTCAAGTATGGATTCCCACCAACCTACTCATTCACCCCAAACACGAGGATGTATGATTTTTTCTTTATGATGAAACCATTTATTAACAACAAAAATATCTTCAAGTACTTCAATAAATAAAATTGGAAATATGTTTTCAACTAGAGATTCTAATAACACTTCAAGCACGTAAATAAAAATCTTTTAAGGGAAATGTGCATACAAAAATGCAAGCAGAAAGTAGCAACTCCCAAAGTCAGAAAACTATTTCCTCTAGGTGGTCCTAAAGACTGATGAACATCAATACAAAAAATTATGAGGTAATAATAAAAAAGGGGTAACAAACTGTTAATAACTTATGAACATCATTAAGAAAATTATGAGGTAATAATAAAAAGGAAAAACAAACCTGCACAGATCCATTTGGTACGAAATAACAAGCATTTGAGCCTCAGCTTGAGCAGTTGATGTTGTTCCTATCGCTCTCTAGCCGAGCTGCTGGCTGCCTGGGGTTATGCCAGAGTTGTGGCTGCTGGTGATGCTGTCGGATGCTTGCCGATGGCTGGCTATTGATCCTCGCCGGAGTTCGCTGTGGAGAAGATACGAGAGGGGGATAGAGGAAGAATGAAGAGAGGAGGGGGAAAGAGAGAGGGGTCGAGGGAAGAGGAGAAGAGGAAGATGATAGGGAGAGAGAGAAGTCATCGGGGCTGCTGCTCGCCGGTGATCCGTTTGGAGGAGGAGAAGAGGAAAGCGGGGCGAGGGGAGAAGAGATGAGGAAAAGAGAGAGAGGCGGGTGAAGGGGGTGGGTATGAGAGAGATAAGTTTGAGTTAGGGTTTTGATATTGTCCTTTTTATTTAAGAGAAGTATTTAGTTTACTGATCACAGGATGTTAGTATTTTTTAGAATAATTAATTTATCGATCACGAAATGTCGATATTTATTAAAATAATTATCTATATTTAATAAATACCAACATCGTGAATTCAATATTATTTAAATAAAATAATAATTTAAATAGATCGGTATATATATATATATATATTATATCAATAGAAGTTTATTAATAAATAAATTTAATTTGTAGATCAAGTTAATTTTATAAATTGAAATTATATTCCTCCTAATTATATAAATTCAAATATAATATATAAATCTCGCCTTAAAATGATCATCGATATCTCTTTCATTTATGATGTATTTCGTACATAATTATTCAATGTAATTCATACTTAGATGAAATATCCTTTACATGTCATCATAATTAGAAAGTGATCCCTAAACTTGACATACGCTCAAGATCGAAAGAATATAATAGTACTATGTCGTATTTCATATTCAAAGTTCACGATTAGACTACGGACTAATAGATTTGTATATTACTCTAGAAATATAAGTATAATTATATTATATCCTAATTCATAAAAACATAGTTTCATACTCGAAATATAAATTATAGATATTTTTTATTTATTCCATAGAGTCTAACTTGTTATTTATAAAAGTATACAATACACTTTTTGAACAATTAATTGTAAGTTTCAAATGAAATTTTAATATTATGCTAAATAGCAAAAATTATGATTAATAGAAATACTTTAAACAAACCAATCTCTGTATGTCGTTTTTATTAAAAGTAATTAGATATAATAAAAAAATATCGACCTCATGAGACCGGTATCACATTAAACTTTGAGAAAAGTAACAAGTAATCACGTTA